AAAATTGAAATAAGCTAAAACATGGAAAATACATATTTGAACTATCTCCTGTGGTTTAGAATGTAAACATATGCTTTATTTAAGCCAGTATGGACAAGAAATACAGGGCCTGTGGATGTGACTGAAAAAAAAGATAGTTTTGGGCTTCCTTAGTGTTTCTGCGCAAGCGATAATTATAGCCAGTGGTTCGATCCTTCGCATGCGCATTATCTTATTAGCTATCATGACGTCATAAGGATAATGCATAGCGGGCGTTTTTCCTTTCCTTGAACCGATCAAGAAGAACGCYAAGTCTTCTGAAATCTGCCTGAAAATTTCACCGGATTTGACTATTTTAAGTAAGAAATAGCAGCTATGTATTCGAGGTTCTTGGAGACGGCTAAGCGTAACCCGTTTGGGACACCGATTGATGACATGCCGACTCCATCAAGGAATTCTCGTCGTCTGATGGCGTCCGCTGCCGGTACGTACGATGTCTCGTTTATAAACTTKGATGGCTTTATTATCATTCTACAACTTTATAACTGCCTCGATTGCTTTCAGATCGTACATTTTAACCTGTAAACTAATTATAGTCTAGTTTTCTGTTAATTTTAGCTCGTTTAGCGTAGTTTGAGATGTTCAAAGTCCAAGTTGTGCATTTATAAAACCGGCATTTCGCCGGCTTATTGTTACAACACACACTTTATACTACTGGCTCGATCTGTTAATACATTGGCCTTGAGTGTTAGTTCAAGAAAGTTTTTATAAGTCTAACATCATTACAAGTTGAGATACTAGTATTGTGAAATGACGTCAAAGTCTGAGAAAGATTCGCATAATAAGAAGACCGGCTCGACGCACACGTGGAAGTGACGTAYAACGTTATTGCGTAATTTATATTGGTGCTAAATGTAGCCAAGTGTAGTTTCAAATAGACCTCMGCAGCTTTTGCATCATGTTCCGTATACACAATACATTGTAGGATATGTTTGGGACAAAACATGGCYGATTTCTTTTGTTTTCTCTWGAAACTGATCCCACAATGCATTGAAAATCAAGTAGTGACGTAAAAGGTTCAGAAGTCTATTAAAKTGAACATAACAAAGCAACTATAGTTTAAAAATTATTTATGCAAATGCTTATGGCTAAAGATTAAAAATTTTCATTCTGTTTGATGTTAATTTGATTTTCAGCTGAAGATGTGAGCTGTGAATTTGGGAGTGGAAAGTATTATGCGCTGTGTGGATTTGGTGGTATTTTGAGTTGTGGTATTACACACACAGCAGTCGTACCCTTGGATTTGGTCAAATGTAGAATACAGGTAAAGAAATACTTTGACCATCAGTCTGAAGCAAGCAATCTACTTCTCCCAAAACTGTGATAATGGCCTTCTGTAATTGAAATGATTAATTAAATTTGATTTTATTAATTTGAATTTGATTTTATTAATATTAATTGATTTTATTTTCTTTAGGTTAACCCTGCTAAATACAAGAACATTTCTCAAGGTTTTAAGCTAACAGTCAGTGAGGGTGGTGTGCGCGCTCTTGCAAAAGGTTGGGCGCCTACGTTTTTTGGTTACTCAATGCAAGGACTTTGCAAGTTTGGCTTCTATGAAGTCTTTAAAATTCTCTATGGTAACATGATGGGTGAGGTAGGTTTACCTTAAAGTTTTATCTAAATAGTTAACACTACAGTCAACTCTTATCTTATGAACACCTCGCTACAACAGACACCTCGATATTGCTGACAGTAAAATACTGAATCCCTGGTGAAAAATACAAAAAAATGATTGAAGACTCTTGCTATTGAGGACACTAAAAATACAGTCCTGAGGCTGACCGTAATAGCGAGAGTTGATTGTACAATGGCTGTTGGATTACTGACTCAAATCCTTTATGCATTCATCAAAACAAACCATCCTAAATCTAAACAATCAYTCAAATAGTGCTGATTAATAATGTCAAACCAGGTTGGCAAACTTGAAATACATCATGTAATATTTGTATTATGTAGACAATCAAYTCTTAAAAGAAATATTTGATTTGAGTATATGTGATGTTTTCTCGAAGATARAGCAGTTAATGGCACATCAGGAAACCCTGAAATGTCCAAGACAGTTGAGATTCTCCACAGAAAAATAATTACCTAATTCATCAGGSTTTTATGTTGCTATTTTCCAGGAATATTCATACTTGTACAGAACGTCTCTCTACCTGGCAGCATCAGCCTCTGCTGAGTTCTTTGCGGACATTGCCTTAGCTCCCATGGAAGCTGTGAAGGTTAAAATCCAAACTACAGAAGGTTGGGCTAGTACTCTGAGAACTGGTGTCCCCAAACTGTGGGCTGAGGAAGGCATAAGAGGGTGAGTTTCTAAATGGATTTATGTAATATYTAATGAGCAAGCGAGCAGTTTTAAAGCCCATAAAGGTCSGACGCAAATATTTTATATTGCTTATCAAATTCCAACATAAGGTAAAGCAAATTTCAAAAAAAAKCTCAAGGATAAAATATCATTTATAAGAGAAAATCAAAGTTAAAGTCYTATGCAAATCAGGARAAATCTCTTGGTCATATAAAGATATGGTCACGGCAATGATTTTCCATTGTGTTTACCTTACGAATTATTAATGAATTTGTTAATATGACTAAGAACATTTAGCATATTAATTAACAAGTAATGGTCCATCAGAGAAGCTGGCAAGAATGCTGGACATCTTTACTGAGCCTGGACACTGGGAGTTAAAGTCCAGTAATARACTTTTAATTCAATATGTTATTTTAGATTTTACAAAGGACTTCCACCATTGTGGATGAGACAGATCCCTTACACAATGATGAAGTTTGCTTGCTTTGAAAGAACAGTAGAATTCTTGTATAAATATGTTGTACCCAAACCAAGGTAAGCTTGTCATGATTTTAGATAATAATGGCTTACATACCCAAGTCCTTGATGTTTTTCTGTGACAATTTTGTATAATTTGCTCACTTAATTGATGCACACATATTTTATACTCATAAATGATGCTAAATAGAAGCTTAATAATAATATTACTTTAATCCATATAATCTGTTCTCTCTGATCAACGCTATAAAAAGTTGAATATATTTAAAAGCTTAAGTAACATTATGTATGTATAACTTATAGTATTTAAAGGATTAAAGTTGTTATTGTATTCTAGGAGTGATTGTACCAAACCTGAACAACTGGTAGTAACATTTGCTGCTGGTTATATTGGTAAGGGAAAAAAATACTATACATTTTGCTTACYCAGTGTACGCCACATGTATGAAGTGTTTGGGTCAGTTTGTCATTGCAGACTTTTGCATAATTTCCATTGTTTTCTGAAATAATCTAATCCTGTTGTTTGATTTATTATTAAAATAATAAGATCCTGATAGTAATCCTCGTATTATCGACAGCTGGTGTTTTCTGTGCTGTTGTTTCTCATCCTGCRGACACCGTRGTCTCTAAACTGAACAACCAGCCTGGCAGCTCCCCCATGCAAGCTGCACGWGAACTTGGCATGGCTGGGCTCTGGAAGGGTCTTGGRCCCCGTATRATCATGATTGGTACCCTTACAGCTCTACAATGGTTRATCTARGACTCRGTCAAAGTCTTCTTCCGCCTGCCACGCCCACCACCACCAGAGGAACCTGAGAGCCTTAAAAGAAAGCGACTCCAAGCACAATAATTCATCCCTTTGTAACTTCCATCAACTAAAATCCATTTCAAATGATGAAAAATGAAATCCCCTTCCCAATTCAATTTTAATTCTTCTGGTGCATTACGGCTGTATTTGAAGCTGTAATTTTTGTAAAATGGATTTTTTGAGTGTGTAATGTGTTAAGGTGAAAGTGAGGTTCATCTTTGCCATTGGATATGACAAATATTCGCATAATAAATGTATTTAAATATCTACACTGAAAAAAATTCTTCTACCTTCACAATTTGATTTTTTTTTACTGCAAATATTGTGCAAGACCAGTCCAGTAATGTGATTTTTGTGAAGTGCTTTAGTTAGGAATTTACTCAAAAGATAGTTTATTAATTTGAAGCTATTTAAGTTTTGTTTTATTTGGAGTCTTCATGAGTGAAAATAAAAACGTGGATTTCTTATATATTTAGTTTTATCAGTTTGATAACAACTTGATATAAAACATGAGTATGACATAGTGTCAAAAGGTTTTTCTTGTCATCCTTGATGGATGTTGGCAAAAGTATCATTACCTGTGAATACTACCTGTGAATCGATACCCATAAATTTAATTGATAAGCAAACAGTTTTTGGTTTGAGATTTATCACACGACTGACATCGATTTATTGTAATACGTAGGAACTTAAACGTCGGTTATGATTTTAAGATTTAGGGCATTTTATGGGGGTTTTTGTACTGGGACGGTCAGATGTCTTATGCGTAATGATTTGTGGGCTGRCATACCACAGGTATCCCAACGATTTTGTGCTCGATATCGTGTTAGTTGTCATGAGTCTCGGCACTCAAAACGCTTACACAGGTAACCCAACTTTTCGCTTGATTTGCAGTGACTGCTTGATTGATCAGTTTATTGAGCAAGAAATTTTTTTTGGCAAATTTTGAGTTTCTTCTGACTCCCTCCAGACATGTGTAAGTCAAAGCAGGATGTCTTGAGAATAACCTGTTTCAAAGCCGGGGGTCATAAGCTTTGTCCATTGCGTGATTTCCCCCRGATTGTGTGCGCGGTTTCGATTTGCCCTGCGGGAAGACAAGCGTAAACGCGAAAAGGCATTCAAATGATCAATAGTGCCATCACGCCACACGAGCGGGCGTTACTTGCCGAGTATTTCAAGRATAGACACAAATGATCAGMGATATACRGATGTATTCACGCATGTTCTAGTTTTACCGCACGGATACCGCACCAACGTGCGTTGCTTTCTGAGCAACTGATATATGTGGTTTTATTATAAGCAGTCACACACAAATGATCAATAGTCTATTTCAAGTGTAGTTTGTTGTTAAAATAACATCACACGTGACGGGCATTATAAAGCGTATGRTATCGCCACAAATTTTGTTGTCCCTTAAGTTACACGCATATGTTTCTTCAACATTGTTATTTCTCCGCTCTTGTCATAACTTTGTTGTTGAAATGTAACTACCCATTTGATAATAATCTAGTTCAAAACTCCTTAAAATGTCTTTATTTAGAATCTATCACGTGTTGTCGCGGCGCAGCTATTTTTTTCGCCCGCGGGAGGGCGTACACAACACGTGTTCCACATTCCATGTTTTCTTTATATAAAGACCAGGCCTTCAATAAGGCATGACGTCATTACGATAATATGTCTTGATATACATCAACTTACTGAATGGCGTTTGAGTGGCTCTAGAGTATCTTTTGGTTATAACTTGATACAGTTCGAGACATTGAAGACCGTTTTTTTATGATCACATAAGCAAATGGCCGAATATGCAGATTATCCTTCGTGTCAATAAAACTAGTCTTATACAGGACTTTGCCCAGCAGTTGTTTGAACTCAAATTTGTAAACAATAATTAGTTTTGAAGAAAATGTAAAAAAAACAACATTTTTTTGTGCTGAAGAAAAATGAGTCAGAGATATTTACCAATTAAGATCTGATAAAGTGATGATTTTATTTGTACGTACATTGTGGTATTACAAGTAATAACAGTTTCCGATATACGGACTACTAAAATTAGTTTTCTCTGTCACTAGACAAAAATCTCCAATGAACTAATCCATCAACCCCTCTTGTCTTGGGATAATTTTTTTATCTGGTTTTGTCGCTGGGCTTATTTTGTTCGATTTTCGAGTGACTTCGCGTTAATCAAGTCTTCGCCAATTGGCGATGAAAACTGTTATCTTCAAAAGCGCACAGAATGTCATATTTCCAATTCTAATTGTATAAGGCCTTTTTGCGTGCATGTTTGTCGTTTATTTGGGAAAACGCCACACGCTTTATATAACAAAGCGAATTAAGAAGTCAGAGGTCTGCGGTTTTACGTCGAGAATAACAAAAACCGCGTTTTTCGATGTCCATTTTAGCGGTAAATAAGAGTATYTTTTATTATCAAAGCTGGCAAACAAAAGTCATTTTCCAATGTGTTATGCTTAGCATCGTTAAGAATATAATCAAAAAGAATTCAAAGTTGATTGATTTTGTTCTGCAAAAGTATTGCTATTTTCTCCGTGCCGAAGCTATAAAAATGTGATCACAATTCTAGTGCCGTTTGCTATTTAACTTGAGAAAATCAAATAAACTCAGTTATTATATAAATATATATGAAAGACATTGTGTAGGAGGAAAGCTTCAAAACAAATACAATCAGAAATGATGGTTCATTTGATTTTGTTTTCGGCGCACTGTTGACAAATATTGGCTTTGAAAGATAAAAAAAATCATTTTCTTTAAAAAAGATACAAGTCAGTGTGAACAGAAACTGCTCATATCTTTGCTTCATTATTTTTTAATTGCGAAAAAGCCCTTTRAGTTTTATCACTTGTATTTCATTATATATATTTTCGGCACTCCTCAACACAGAGATTTCAGGCAGAWTTGTTTACAAAAAAACCTGTACAGTACAAAATACTTTTTTATTAAAGATATCGAGTTGATTTTGATTGGAAAAGTCTTTTTATGCGACTGATGAACGAGATCAGGTCATGAGTCATATACGTTTTTGATTGAATAAAACGGCTTTTCAACGTAGATTGTGGGACTTAGCAGTTTTTAGTTGAATTCATAGACATTAAGAGATGCCTACGAAAGTCAATTGTCAGGAAGTTTTGGATGGAGAGGATGATGGATGGAAGGAATGAAGGAAGGAAGGAAGGAAGGAAGGAAGGAAGGGAGGAAGGAAGAACTGAAGGGAGGGCTGATCAAGAGGGAAGGAGGAATAGAAGAAAAGAAGATGGGCAAGTTGTAGGACGCAAGAGAGAAGAAGGGAGGGAGTCGGAGAAGAAGGAAACAGAAGGGAATCAGGCAGCGAGCCTTCAATTTTACCCAAAATATTTGCAATTTGTGACTTTTTTACTGCCAGTATTCCGCCCGTTAATAACGACCTAAACTTGCTTTTTTTTCTCATATGGTATTTTATTCTCTCTGGATGTCCAATTATTCATTATATTTAATAGAAAAACTCTCTATATGGAAGACTACTGACATTAATTTTACTTCTCGAGTACTTTTGATGTCATTTTTGATATGAACTTGAAATGACTAATAATGCGATCAAAACCGCGAAGCCACTGGAAATCCTCTTTTCGAAATGACCATCTCTCTAAATACGGTAAAAAGTCAAAACCACAGATTAGGCATTCGTTAGAAAACTTCCTCAAAGTGAGTCCCTTCCTTCTGCAGCTGGCTCGATCACCTCATTATGACTCGAAACGCAAGATTATCATCTATATGCTTATCATTTCATTACTCCTTGGGTTAATCAAGGAAAATTAGTTCTCAATGTTCATTCAATTCCATAATTCGCTTCACCTTGGGTAATATTTGCATGGAACTATGATTAGCAAATGCGCATAATTACCGAATATACATCTCTTTCGCKTTCTTTAGTGATCCTTGTATGTCAAAAATCGATCTTTAGTCTACAAAGAGAGCTTGAGATTGTTTCTGAAAGATTTGTTGGTGTTATTGGCGATGATTTGATGTACAGTTGTAAATCTATTGTTGTCTGAGGAAGATTCCTTGGGATATACTAAACATTCAAAGGTATTTCCTCTCTAACAACTATTRCGTAGATTTGTTTCCTCTTTTCAAGTAGAGAAACAGGTGTAGTGGCAATAGATACCAGCATCTACATGAGATATGATATGTAACTTTCACTGGACCAACCAAATACTAGACTTCTCTTTCTTAAAAACTAGTATCTTTCAATACTGATTTTCCTTCTAAAAGTCACGATTGTTGTGACAATTGTGCATGATATATACCTAGAGAAGTGGTGGGGATTTTCTTCTGTGTTTCCAGAAAGGTGAATAGTTTTGTAAAACGCCTTTAGAGTTTCGGTATTTTCTGCTAAACTATTACCTTACTTGCAGATTCTGCTATTTTGATTCACCAGGYTTACGTTTTTACTGTTAAAATGGTTTTATAGGTTGATACTGTATACTGGAATTTCATCTCAACAAACATGTAAAGGATTGTAACATCATGTCGAACGATTATAACAATATTATCCGGCAGTCTTTATATATTACTTCCGTTAAAACAAACTACTTATATCAAAAGTCAGTACTTTGCCTGTTTTAACTGAGCATAGCGAAAAAGTATTAGAAAGATATAAGTACTGAAATATTTATAAGAAAATATGTATCAAAAATYGCGGACATTTTGGTTTTTCAAGCAAGATATATGAAAGCTAAATGTCCCGCTTCTCTCCAGCACAAGGCAAAGTTAATCTTGCTGAAAATCTTTTATTATTGTGTATTCTTGCCTTTGCACCGTCTCAAAATCKATTCGATGAAGTCCCTTGTCGAAATCACTTAGAGAACCGATTTGAAGATCATCAGATGTTCTTCTTCTTAGCGATGAAAGATAAAGTACTCGAGGCGAAAACAATGCCGGCGCGTGCCACCCCTAAACCCTAAATTACAGCACAAAAACCTGAATTAATAAATTAGAAGCGGAATAATTTAGATGGTAAAGAATGAAGCAGCACGTAAAGGCACTAATGCCTTGAATTCTATGGAGAAAAGAATTCTTAACGATTGAGATAACTCAGAAAGGAAGAATTTCAGTGAAATTCTTACGCGGTTTAAGACTATAAAAAGGTTGGAAGTACGATTGCTTTAAACTTTGAATATTTTTGATGAAATAAATCGTATGATATTAAACTTCACTTCGTAGCTGAGTCGAACAGAAGTTTTTTTGTAACTACTAAACGAAAAAAATAACATTTGTTTCTTTGGTAATTCCAGTACTTAAAATCTCACATTTACATCGACAAAATGGATACTGATTCACTGTGCGCATTTTGCCATTGTGAAATAGAGATTTTAGGCTCCAGTGAAGAGTTTATTGACAAGAACAAAAAGTATCGTTTCTCAAGCGGTAATCCCTATGTTTTGTAAAAATGTAATTGAATACCTTTCGTGATCAGCCTTCAACAAATGTTATCTAAAATGGTGGGCATGTAAGTTAATCTAAACGCCTTATTTCCTTATTCATGAATTTCTTCTTCAGATAAACATTACATATTTATACACAAAAAGATTGCGCAAAACTGAGAAAATGTTAAGCCTGAAATAGTTTAGAAGACATGTAGAGCCTCGAGAAAAATTCCAAGATGATTTGGGCCCGCCATCTTTGTTCACGATGTGAGCTTGTACAACATTATGAAAAAAGTGCCGTATCTTTACAACAAGAACAATTCAACGAGTCTTTATTTTGTGTACAAGGAACGTGCTTGATTTTGTTATAGTAGAAATACAGTTCATAGTACAAAGAGAAGAATCGGTAAAATACACCTGCCAATGGACACAAAGAATCATCCCAGCCAAACTAACATATGTTTGCAATGAACTCTTTGGTCAAATCTTTAGAAATTCATCAGAATAGGCTTTTCAATTTTGTCGCCGATATTCTATAGGATATAGACTTTCTTTTCGCTATTTTGAGCAATCATAAAGCCTTAAACGTGCCGTTTTAACATCTAAGTTCCAACACATTCTTTCGTAATTTGCTTTTCAAATACTATTCGATTCTAGTTTGATGGAGACAAACACCAAAGAGATTAGAAACGAGTTAGGAAGAGCTTGACATGTTGGTGTAAATCTCTTAAATTTTCTATACAAAAACTAGTCTTAGCAATGAGAACCGTGTGTCTAATATGGCCGGCACAATACACTCAGAATGTGTTTTCTGCTCTTCTCTTCACTCATAGACTCCAGTTATGCTCTAAGAACTAAAACAAAAGTACTTCTAGTTTACTTAGATCGAATTTTCGGCTTAGCAGGCGCGAAAACGCGGTGCTAAAATGTCTCAATCCAAGCACATACACTTGTACTGAACATAGTAAATAGGCTTAAATTGACAAATATATTCAAATATGTATTGCCTGACGGTAAATAAAACTAGAAAAGAAGTGTTGAGGCGTTGTAGACATTTAGATTTCTTAAAGTACCTCTATGTTATCACGATATAACATCGATATTGTACTAAATAGAGATAAAGAGAACGTGAAGTACCCTTATCTCCAGTCAAGTCTACCTCTCACTATGGAGGAATGTCCAATTAAGTCCAGTTATCTTTCCCCTGATAAAAAAAATTCTTTCTTCTTCGAGCAAGATGTTCACAGTGGCAAATCTCAATGGAAACAGTTTCTACAAGAAGATTTAATTATAGTGCGATGATTAATAAATGTTCTTTTTCTTTTGTGTGAGTTTCATTTTTATCAACAGGAATAGAATCGGTAAAATTAGAAAAACCGGAATTTAAGTAGATTTAAAATGAATTTTCACGAGTGAACTTTCTGGAAATCGTCAGGCATTGGAAAGATTGATTTGTTATTTATTGAAAAAATATGCGGTGCTTTTTTCTTTCAACAAAGCAAGGATTTTCAACTAAAAATACTTTTACACCATCAATTTATTGTAATTGATTAAATTATATGACAGAAAATATGATTCAATCAATGGAAAGGAATCAATCTCTTATGTGATAAAACCCGGTCATGCAAAATCTCTGCTAGTTTACCCTGAACCATGCGGATGATTTGTTTAGACTTGGGCATGCATGTACTTTAGAAATCTTTATTAAGAGAAAAAATGTACTTGTTGTATTATATTTTCGTCTTTTTTATATTGAGCATATATATGACCGTCAGTAGAACAAATTCATTGTTATTCTCTATTGTACTAACAACCCATCGCTTAAGTATTTATATCGCAAAACCCTGTTTTGTTCAGCTAATCCCAAAATTTAGCGCTAAAAAGAATTCAATAAATCTTTGAATGAGCATTGAACAATGAAGACATTACTGAAGTAGGAGATCTGTGTATTGACTACACGTGTCTTTGTATTCATACAATCCACGAGGTGGATGCACCAACTCCAGATTGGTCTTCAAAATGAACTCTTAGTTGATATATACTAATGAAGAACCAAAATGAAAAGGGCACCCCAATGGGATTACAGCATTAAATCTTAACATATCTCAAATCAGTGGTTTGAAGTAGAACAACTGCGTGGTTACTCTAGTTTGGCGCGRTTTTTTTCCCCGTTGCGCAGTATTTTAAGTTCGAGGTTTTAGTCAAATAATGCAGTACAGTAGACTACGGCAGTGTGGTCGTACGGCACGCTTCTTTGATAGATGTGTATTGTAGTAGAGTGTGCGTTTATTTACCGATCGAGAATAATCCTGCTGCCTGCGACAGCATGTCAATATTTACCCTAAAGAGTGTTTTAATTCTTTTCTATTGAGATTCAACAAATTCGTTCACTTGATTCGACCATTGTGAATGGCCTCATCTGGGGAGATATCGTTAAAATTGTATTAAATCCAGTTGTCTCGGGCAGACATGCAGGGAAAATCCCCCGTAAATATGCCGCCAACGCTGTACCAGTGGAATTTTATGTTGAATTTTTGATTCATGTGCTATAAGTTTTATGGTATGCTTGTTATCTTAGATCGTGTAACCCTACGGTATGGCTGGGATTCCACTCAATTAATGAGCTTAATTTGTRTTATTCGATATTGTTATAAATTCACCTGTTAGACCCATATTCACGGGTAAAAACCACARTATTTAAATAGCTTTTCTGCATTTAAAGGGCTTCCTTGCATTTAAAGGGCTTCTTGCACTTAAATGGCTTTTCTGCAGTTAAAAGGTTCCTTACAACGAAAAAAAAAACACTTTACTGGGATCGAAAAAAAATTAAATCTCAACACTGAAAAATTTGCTCGACTCTTGAATTAAAGGGCGGCAAGTATAATAGAGAGAAAGAGTGTGTGATTGGTTGCACATGTTTGGAACAACCATCTGCTCCCGTTTGTGTTCACACCAAATTACGCGCGACTTCGCAGCTCCCCGTCTGTGTATTCTGATGCCCAGTGCGTGCTTGGACAATTAGCTAAAAAGCAAAACCTATATTTTAATCTAATTTTAACGTGATCTTAGAACAAATGCCACACGACCATCAAACCAGACACCTTTCAGTTACGGCGGATATTGTACGACTATAGTTTCTTACGCTTGGAAATATATATATTTTGCAGATTTAAGGTGTCTGGATGATATTTTTTGTAATTTTTTCTTTATTTGAAGAACGCCACGCGAACTGCCACGCGCCTCAGCTCTGACCCCGAGCGGGCCAGCTGGGTCGGACAAGCACCTTCTATTGTAACATGGTGTACCGTCTTTATAGCAGAGTAATAATTAGTCTCAACGAATTGAGGCTGTGTGCCAATGCTTATTTTCCTGTAATCCAAATTTGATTTGATCTCAATAGAGGTATAATAGATCAGCAGAAGTAACAATAAAGGGCACACTCTCATACCAACAGGCACTCTTATTGGTCCGTGAGTTGATTCAAAGCCTTGGCTTACTTCCAATTAGAGCAACTACGCGAATCCTTACAGAAGATTATGCGATAAATGATATTCCATGTTGTTTACTGTACTTTCTTAGTATGTAACGGCGTCTTAAAGGCTTGGAGCACACATGGTAGACATATAGGAACCTACTCACACTACCCCTCTGCAGTTTTTWAACTGCCACTTTTTTATAAACATCATTTTGCACCCACATGTCCTAATTTTATTGTGGAAATATTTTCTATGGAAGCTTTGTGATGTTTTGTTTTTGTGTATTCATACCCTAATTTAAAGTGAATTTTCTTTTGGAAATCAAGCAGGCCAATGCGGCGTATGGCAGCCCCCAAGATGCAACGTGCTAGCTTTGATTGTAAATCMGTGTTTATCAGTGCAAACACTGCACTATCACTATAGCACTACACTATATGCCAATTCTCAATCTACATTCTTATGCATTTTTTCTATCAATTATAGATAGAAACAGTASAACTAAAGAATTTCACATGAGCCGGAAATATGTTTAACAAGTTCAAAAACGATCAGCTCTGCGGAGTTCATTTGGGTGAACTCACTTGTACAATATTTGTTTTGTATTCTACTCATAGTTGCACACTTGACAAAAGACCTGCTAGAATGTAGTACCATCAACTGACGAAAACTGAACGTTAAATCAGTACCCTTGTGGATAGATTAACCAACCTAACTGCTCGCTCTTTTAGTCAATCTAAGCGTTTAGTCGTTTTGGATTTGGTCCAGTGGTAGGGAGTGGACTGGAGTTTATCTTGGTCGACGCGTGTTGCGCTATTGTTTGTATTCGTGATCATTTCCATAACAATACCATCAAGCCATGACACACGAGGGCCCTCATATACATGGCACGCGGAAAACCAGAAGAATACTCACAAGTTGACAATAGCAAAAAAGATCACATTTAAAAAGACGTTTTTTGTCATACAAGGGATTAAGAAAATCTTGTTTTGAAAGCAGTTGGCTATCAACTCGGCTGAGTTAACTGACCGATGTTAGAGCGTCTTCGTTGTTAACTGACTCCCTTGCAAAAAGTGACGTGTTGGGCATTCCAACAACCGTTGAGATTAAGTGTTATCGGACATGAAAATCAAAATAAAAAATCGATACAAAAGACCTGTTCATAGTTTCCCTCATTTAAACCAATGAATAAACCACCTGGCAAGGTAAAAAAATCTATTTACTGCAAAATTTGTCGAATACAATGGTGTGTTATTACTGATGTACGTTCAGTTGATGGCCGAAAGTACACTGTCGTAACACCATCAGAATAGAATACAGTTATTTATTAATTTCCTCATGTTTTTGACCATAAATGTTTAATTTGTTCTCAAGTTTTATAGACCAATTACTAGCGAATAGTGCACAGCGCCAGTTCATCTGACCRAGTAATGGAATTGAATAGCTTTTTTGTGTTCAAAATGAGCTACAACACTTACATCTTACTCGCAATCCAGTACTTTATTAATACTGGTTTTCCTATTTAACTATTAAACCAACCAAATAAAAGCGTTACATCGTAATTAGGATTTCCCTTTTTTTAAAGCGATTAAATTTGGTTTCAAAATAACGAACCATTTGCTGTAGCTAGACAGCTTCAGTCTTTTTTCGAAAACCTGTCGATGTATTTATATTCTTGTAAACACAATCCCCCAATTATCAAAATACTTCAACAAGATGCATACTTTTACAGTSCGYTTGACACGCKGAGCGAAACKTCAGCCTTTTCTCTGGAGTTTTCCAGTGAATAGAAAATTAGGTTATTTTAATAAAACCATTTGTGGTTCAGTGTAAAGACTCGTCGATTAGAGGTGTGAGACTTATTTACTGTGATTCAAAATTCCTCATTGAATCCATAAAATATGTATTACTCATTTTGTATTCAAACTAAATGTGTACTGTCTTGCTCAATGCTCAAGCAAAAAGAATCTCTTTGAGTGTTGACAATTGAATTAAATGTACATTAAAAAACTATAAATTCCATCAAAAAACGAACAAAGAAACACTACTAAATCAAAGCTACATGAAACAATCTAATGAGAATTCATTAATATTTCCATATAACATTTTCTTTGCTTTTTTAGATTTAATTTGCCTTCATAAGACAAGGACCTTATTCTTATAAACAACTGACAGTAYCGATTCTGGAGTTGAGCTTGGACGATGTGCGAATTGATCTTTACAATTGGGTGCTAATTAAGATATAAGGCGTGGCCATCTTGCTACACGGCAACATAAAGTGTTTTGTGATTGGTGGATTSTTGTAGTCTTAGGTAACGTTACAATAGGTGTACCAATGATAGACTTGTACTCTACTCGTGGTTGGACCGTGTCTTGGATGTTATTGTTTACACTACTCACTACTCAGCTGACAGAACTTCGATAAAGGAAAAAAAGAACACACGAACTAGATATAAGAGCCACGCGACACACAAATTAGCCAGTTGATAGGCTTGTGACGGCTTGATGTGCACACAGACCAAATCCTCTTCAACAACCTAACTTCGATTTTGCTTCGCCGAAAAAAAACGCCGAAGTTTTAAACTGACAGTGAGCCTTTTGGAAGTCCTGATTAGGAAACGCAAAGATTTCATAACAGTTCTCTGAGGTCACTATGCCAAGATCTTTTCTAGTTAAGCTGAAAAAGAGCGCTTGTGTGTCTCCATGGGATGATGGTAAGTTGAAGATTTCTAAAACCTCTTAAGATCACATGAAGAAAAGTATCAATATRCTGAGGATCTTTAAATACTGTCTTTTAAAGGGGAAAAATTTATTCAAAAATACAAATGTAGGTATTTTATCGAGATACGGAAAGTCTCATCAAATATTTATCTCCCAAAAAAACGCTCGCAGCCAGGCTGTCAACTTATGTTGTATTTTCCTTTGTAGGAGGATCAGTTATTCCATGTGAAACTTCGTCCATGTGGGAACCAATACGAGTGGAAATCGAGCCTGCGCAAGTATTTAAACCCATCAAGCTGGACCTACATACTCTAGATCCTCCCTGCCCAACTGGAAAAGGACAGTTTAACTCGGATTCACATTTCTTTAATCCATACAGCTTCAGTCCTTTCCAGCTCAGTCCATACACACATACCTATACGACAGAACATTCAAGCTACAATCGCAGTTCGTCTCCAATTTACGACAGTCAGATCCCACATTCTCCTGACTTTGACGGATCACTAGTGCCATCTCCAACGAAAAGCGACGATGGATTTCCAAGAGCAAGTATTTTCGTCCCCGGGAATGGATTTTTAGACATTAAACCATCCAAGCCTCAATCGCCAATAACCTCGAATACCGTTAGTACACCGGTTGGAAGAAAAAGGCGAAGTGGAGTTCCCAAGACATTTACTTGTGAAGTTTGCGGCAAAGTGTTCAACGCGCATTACAATCTGACCCGACATATGCCAGTTCATACAGGCGCACGTCCCTTCAAATGCAAGATATGTGGAAAGGGATTTCGACAGGCCAGCACACTCTGTCGCCATAAAATTATTCACACCAAAGAAAAACCCCACAAGTGCAACATTTGTGACAAAGCTTTCAACCGCTCGTCAACTTTGAACACTCATATAAGAATTCACGCAGGCTACAAGCCGTTTGTATGTGATATTTGCGGGAAAGGATTTCATCAGAAAGGGAACTATAAAAATCATCGTTTGACGCACACTGGAGAGAAGCCATTTAAGTGTCATATCTGTGGCAAAGCATTCCATCAAGTCTACAATTTAACATTTCATATGCATACGCATAACGACAAGAAACCTTTTACATGCAAAGAGTGCGGTAAAGGTTTCTGCAGGAACTTTGATTTGAAGAAACACGTTCGAAAATTGCACGAGAATAAGCAAACCCAAGTTGCCAGCGAGTAAATTTGTTTGTTAACAAACTCAATTAATCAAAACTTACCGAATGTATTAGATCAAAAAATGTTTCTTAACACAAACTTTATTGAATATTGTATATAGTTAGCGTGTACAAACTGATATGAATTGTGAATATGATATAGTTCTAATCGTTCAGCTGAATGTAAATATGACTGTACGAGGTGGCACGTGCATGAACAATACAGACGGAATAGCCAGTACAAAGGCAATGACATTAAGAGTGAAGCGTCTCAACTATTTAGCAACTTTATAACGTATTTCACGGAAATGAATGTAAATTTATCAGGAAGACAAGTTAATAAAATCTATTCAAATAGTATTATATGTTTGAATTGGATGTCTTTTCTTCAATTATGAGAGGCAATTGAAGATTGTGATCGTAAATCCGAGAAAAGACWCGGTGATCCTTTTCGTTTACCGAAAATAAACATAAACACTAGACAGTTGCCGCCAACATCTTTTTATTCTTGTGGTAAACAATACCCGTTCAGTTTGGGGTTGTTTTGGCTGTTTTATAAAAGGTCTTTATTCTTGTTAATCCCGCTCGGAAAGTAAGCTCTGAAAAGGCCGTTAAAAGCCTGTTCAACTTCCAAACTATTCAAATTAATGAAAAGATTGTAAACTATTTAGAGGAACACTAATTACGTTAATTTACTAAAAACAACTGACAAACCGTGATTTATATTTCTTGGCCAGAATTCAAAACCCTTGGCAATATCAAAATCACAAAAACACTTTGGAACAACGTTTTTTGTAAGTTATAAGTTGAAAAAAAAACTCATTACTTCAATGTTTGGGGTATGATTCTCATAGACAGAGAACTAATTGGTAATAAACTTCAAATCTAAAGCAATTTGAAACAAAGGGGTATCAATGGATGCCGAATATATAAAACAGTCTTTCCGACACATTTCRTCTGAGAGTCGACTTCGCATTAAACTTTTCTTCTTTCCGATTCACCAACAAGTTCCATAATCTTTATTTGCGTAAAAAAACGGAATTCAAACAGAAAGAAGTCAAAGAAAAGACCTAATAGTCAGTACTAGAGCAAGTGAAGAATGCCATGATAAACCGGCACGTGGCCACGACAGCCAAACGGTTTAAAGTTTTGAAGAGGAAGCGAGATAAACACTAACATAATGGGAAAACTATTGAGTATTAGACAAGCATAAAGCTTTGAAAAACACTTAGAAGCACACAAAAACTCAGTTTAATCAAAAAAGGCGCATTGGTAACCGCAAAGTGAACCCCGACAGACACTTTTCGCCAGGCCGCAAAACTCTAGTTTAGTGCTGCCTAATAAGATTCTGTTTTTCAACGGTTAGAAGTTTAAAGTTTAATGCAATTACCCGGCGTTTTGTCATTCAATGCATAATTCATGAAAAACGGTTCCGTGGAAAGGCTATTTGTGGACTTAAAAAATATTTTCTTGTCTTCGTTAACATCAACATTTGGGGGATTTCTGTTGTTTGAGCGTACCAGCGTGAAATCTTGTTCTCATACAAAAACTTTGCAAAACTTTTCGTTTATTATGCGTGCAAGGTGCCACTCGAGCTTGAAACAAAAGCAACAACATTGTCAGCTAAAAATCTACTACTGAGTGTACTAATTCCAAAGTTTTCAACATAAGCCATGAAGTGAGGCAGAAAGCACTTCTATGCAGTAGCGCAAGCCACCAAAGGACTTTGATCAATTAAAATTGATCGGGGAAGAAGGTGGATTACTATTGACAATGGTCCACACGACACACAGGTCAATGATGTACAGTCTAGAAGAATAGACCAACCAAATATAAAACTACAACGGGTACCCACAAACTAAACTTAATGAGCGCAGAACAACTGTGTTTTCAAGAAGAACTAATATGTTACCCGCTACGATCATGATGGATTAATCAAAACGGGTCAATTTTGTATGATTGTTAATAAAACAACAGATGAAAACACATTTAAAGTGGAGTATCACGTCCACGGGTATATTTACTTACGACACGCTTTTCTATACACATATAATTTGAATTTAAAGACTTTAAACCTTTAGTGCCTTCCACCGCACGCGCCSGGCAAGCTTATACATTGAACGCTCTGAAATTTCTAAAGTTTTTAAATCAGATAATCTCATTTGCGTACATTTTTATTAATTGAATTTYTTTGGCTTGATGTACTTTGACTGATTTTATTTCTATGTACACATTGTAGGCTGGCTTAGGGCTGGTCAAATGATCCTTTCTTAGTCCGATATATATAACATGAGGAATACCAMACAATCAGATTGGATTGTACAAAGGGCTCTGTCAAATAAAATGGKTCGAAATACTTTTTAATTACTTGTTGGTTATAACTATATATATTTTGCATTGGACTGTACAACCTTTTATTAACATCTAAATATTTGAGAAAGAGGGCTATAATAGTCATGTACTAGAAAGTATATTACTCCCTAACTTGTCGTGTTGGAACTTTTCAGCAAAGTCCTTTTTTACCATATGCTTACATAATTTTCCTTAAACTCAGATTAATTTTTATTGCAATTTCAACTGTAACATATGAAAATTCTTTCATATATGGATTGACAAGATATACAAATAGCTTGACACGAGGCCTGATGARGTTTTTTTAAAGMCTRCATMACTSTAAACCATAAATGGTGGCATGTGCCGGCTATGACTTGGTATGGAGGGATAGTGTTTCACTACTATTTCTACTGCCTTTTCGATTAAAATCAATCAAAATTGTTCTCAATAATGACTTGTTAAGCGTGCTGATAGGCGTCGAACAAATGTCGCCATTTAAACAGAAGAGGCTGTTGAGCTGAGTGGATACCTGCTATACATGTCAATACTGCCACCACTGCATGAACTTTTAATACATGTCTTAAACTGCAGCTTTTAAAAAGCTATTAATTGCATGAATTACTAACGCGTGTGGACGAGATGACTTGGTCGATCATCTGGTCCAGTACTTGTATGTAGCAGTTGCCTCATTCAAACAGTTACAAACTCTTGAAATCTTATAGTTCAACAGCATGATAAAAATTCATCAAAAGTACATCTAATTCTAAATTCAAATATCACGTTCTTTTTCAAATGGATTTGGGTTGTCGAATTACTACAGTAACCGTTACAAATTGTATAGAAATTAAACGCTTCATAATTTTTAAAAAAGAGTTCTTTTTTACTGTGMATTTTGTCTTGGCTGTAATTTATTGACTGCTATCAATTGAAACAATTATTGCTGAAGAATTTACGCCCCATCTACAGCCCGGCGCTGATGTACGCCCTTCACAGCTTCTTCAACAAAGCTTTGCCTTTATGTCATCTTTGACTSACTTATAAAATATGTCAACATCTTATACACCAATAGAAGTTTCAATGTAGTGCCTTTATCTAGTGATGCTGGAGTTTCGCGCGGACTGTGTCATGGTTCTCTATAGCTAGTGTTTAGTTGGAAACCTATATTCTCAGTTAAGTCAACACAACAAAATGTACGTTAAAAATGAAGATATTACATTGAAGTTGAAAATACATGAAACAGCTTATGACCAGAAGGTATAAACCACAGTTAAATGAYCAAATTAAAAACTTGATTTTTGTAATAAGTACTCMCAGCACGCYCTGTGTAGGACTAGTGAGTCAGTTCAAAGAAAGACTCTGGTGTAAGATTCATTCAGTGTGCAATTATTTACGAGTTTAGTTCTGTTTTCATCAACCCTTAGTTAGGATTATAAACCTATTATCACAAGGGTTAGTCATGTAGACTAAAATACTCATCAGTTGTTGGCACCTGTCACGTGGCGGGTGACGCGACAGTGATGACCGTCTAGGATGATGGGAGCGARTACGTCATTTACCGTCATTTCAAAGAAGATTGGTCATTTGTCATGCGTGTCGAGGTTGGTGTTTGGTTTATGTTATTTTTACGCTTAGAAAGATTTCGGGCTTAAACTCGTCAWGTCTGTCAACCCGCGTACCTCCCRGTATATGATCATTTAAGCAAGTTTTCCGTCCTTTCCAGCTGACTCATTACTCAGGATCCCTGTCTTGATAAGTGATCGAGGTAAACTGCCAACGATACAGTAAAAGAGAGTTAGAACCCAATCCTTRATCGTTACTGTAGTCTTTGGAAGGCAGACTGTCCGGGTCTGCGCGGTATCTGATATCAGCTTGAACTGCGTCGTGGCCTAAAATTTGATTTTTYCTTTACCGTAKATGCACAGGTATCCCACAAAAATATGAATCAATTATAAAGCTGTATGCTAGCTGAAAGCTAATCRCAGAGGACCAGGGGTCTRTTTTGTGAAGRGATTGTTTCGATTCTGGATTATCTTTCAGGAAATWAGCGGTGAGTGGGATCCCTGTGGCGGGTGGTTACTKAGTCCAGGGGGTATGTCTCCGGGAACACTTCGCCAGGCACAGGAAKAACAATCAAAGATTGCAAGCAAAAACACAGAATAATGGCAAGTACATAGCTAGACTGCATTAATTGAGTTCTTAAGTATATCTATACTACTTCCAAGTCTCATGCTTGATAATATTACTCAAATACAGGCCTCAGAGCAAACTGAAAATGGCGTCCAAGAATTGAACTGGAATGTGAAGGTCTTGGACGCGAGCAAAGACGGTGAAGTTGTGAAGTTCACGTTGCAGACGAAAACAGTATGCAAACAATGCAGTTATTTAATGATAATGATATGTATAAAACAATGAAAAGACGAGAAATCAAAGTGTACTTCTAAGGAAGTTCGAAACTTAATCTTTGTTTTCAGTATCGAAATGCAGTCGTAACAGCATGTAAGATCACATGATACCGGGTCGTAAAAAAATTAAATTAAGCTTTGCCAACAAAAGTATTTATTTGTAARTATTTCAATAGCTTACTTTTATCTTTATGTAAGTATTTGTTTTTGTTTCTAAACAAAATAAAAATAATAAATCTAGGAATATTTGCACCTTTATTCTATTTATTTATATTTTCTATCATTATCTAGGAAGATGACCCTAAGGATAAAGGTGTTGTTGTTCTACGTGATTATGATGATTTTGAATGGTTGTATCATTGTTTGATAACACAGAACAAAGTTGATGCTGTTGTGGTGAGACTTTTGTAGTGTATAATTTGTAAACATCTATAATAGTTCAGTTCTTAGTCTTGATATTGCATTAAATATCAAAAAGGTGTTACAACCAATAAATATTTCATTTATACACATTTTAAAATGTTTAATTTTCACACCATACAACTGAATATCAGGAAATGACTTGCTGGGGAAGGTCACTGTAGAACTGTGAAAGTCTGTGAAAGTCTGAGAAGATGATACAGCCTTCAAGAAATTAGAAATAATATGATAGCTACAGTAAACAGGGTTTCTCAAAGCACACTGCACTACAGACACTTAGAGCTGGCTGTCTATAAAGCAGTGTGATTGCTAAAAGAACTTAAAATGTTTATTTAATAACCAAATGTTTTGTTTTGCTTTAAGGTTCCACCTCTTCCTCAAAGACCTGTGGTAACAGCGAATGCTTCAGAAGCCAAGTCCAAGAAACAACTTGGTATGTATAATTTACATTCACATCGTTAAACTGTTTAGCAAATGTTTGCTGTCATTTACTTGAACGATTAGTTCTATCACTTTTCATTCTAATACTATACCAGGCTTACAATAGCTGATTTGTGATTTTTAATTCAGTAGTCGCACACAAAGGTTTCACGGCGAGGCACCYTGCACAAAGCTCAGTCAATAGACCAATCCTGCATTCGCTTGGATGAACACGAAACAATGGCTTCATTTCYAGGCTGGAGTTTTATCTTTTGTCGAAAACTCCAGCCTCGAAATGAAYCCATTGTTCCATGTTCATCCAAGCCAATGTGGGATTGGTCTATTGTGAAAAACTATTGTCTTTTCACAAATGACTGAGCTTTATACATGGCYCCTTGTCTTMATTRCTTTGWGTGCGASTACTGAGGCAAAAATTCGCAAGTCGGCCATTAAATYATGAATTAAAAAAACTACACATACTTTTTTTTATCAGGAAAAGATGCCAAAAACATGGTTGCTGATGAATTTACTAAAGAGTGTAGAAGCCTTGAAAAGTAATCATTGTTATTAAACCAAATAAATTGGTCACTAATTCTGGTTAGACCATACTATACTCTGTTTAACTTGTATAATATCATTTCAGGTTTCTTCAACTCATCTTAGTTCATCCTGCCTTCAAAAAAGATGGTATTTTAGAAAAGTTTTTGATTGAACAAGAAGTAAGTATTTATAACATGAAATATTAAACAGATAAAAGATATGATATTGTATGTGTGTACATGTACATTTAGGCCCCTGCAAGAACAAAAGTAAAGAAAGGATTGTTTGGTAGTCTTGGTAAAACAGTCGATGAAATGAGGTTTCAAGGTTATAAGGTAGAATTGCTGTATTTGTTTCTATTGTGTTCATTATTAGTCATGTTTTGTGAACTGTCTTCTTCATGGTTACCTGCGCCATCTTGAAAGGTAGCCGTGCCTTTGCATCGAAGCAAGACGACCATTGAGCGTGCTATGATAGAAATCTTCTTTCACACCTACAGACAATTATTCACATGAAATATATAGTCGCTACCCGCGTTATGCGTCTTTGATTCCGTTAAAATCATATGACAATTATTCACATGTATCTATCATTGCACGCTCATGGTAGTCTCGCTTCGATGCAAAGGCTCGGATACCTTTCAAGATGGCGCAGGGAACCGTGAAGGGGACTATTCTCATCATCTTTGGATGATTTATAGGATAGAGATGAAGATTTCCAGAAACATAGGGACTTTGTTGACAAAGAATTGGCAGCAATCAAGGAAGCAAATATGGTAAACATGAATATGACGTCCAGACATTTTAACAAATGAAAAAAAAATTGCATCAAATTAGTGTCTTTTTATTGTTTCTTTAGAATTTTGCCAAGATGAGCAATACACAACTGCGTAAGTTTTCAAATTTTCCATCTCCATGCTTGCACTCTTACATTATAKTRTGTTGAGACAATTTTCATGTATACKAGATAATAAAGACTGCTTGAAAAGTTTYTTATTTACAACAAGCWACAARGTTGAAAAATARAGKATTTTCTGTTATTGATCYACATTACCAATGAATGAAAAGTTGCCAAAAAGAGTGAATTTTCTATCTGTATTTTGGTAAACATATATTTTGTGTTTTTAGGTGTTGCTCTTAGTCTTGGTGAGCTCAGCTCAGCATTATCAACAGCATCAGCAATAAATGAAGACAGTACTAACAGACTAAAACCGTATGTACATCATCTAAGATACCAGGATCATCTTTACTGTATGCATTAGAAGAGCAAGTTTATAAATAACATTCTCCTTTTTGTAGAGCATTCAATGTCTTTTCAAGTGCTGTTACTACAGAAAAGGTAAAGCTCCATTGTTAGAATAAATTATTGGAATTAGAGTATTGAATCATTTTATTGTTTTTAAGGATTCATACGATGTTATGAGTAAGAATGATGATAATACACTAGGATTTACATTAGACTTATACTCACGTTATATGGAATCAGCTAAGGTGAGCTTGTTTATCATACATTTATAAAATTTTTGATATACAACGCGCGCTCTGATTGGCTGACGACCGTGTTTATATCAMAGGACAGAGACACGGCTTACCGGCAAAATTTTCTTTTCGCTCGAAAAATTTTATAAAAGAAATATAAAACGGCCGCTTGTTTCTCTGTCCTCTGATATAAACACGGTGGGAGTTCGAACAACACTAGAGAAGCAAGCTTAGGAACACGAACGTAGCGAGTGTTTCTCTTGCTTCTCGACACGCGCGCCGTTTTATATGTGGTCTGAGGTGGTGTTATAAATGTATTAAAGGAATGATACACCATTACGCTTCCGTCTTGTAGTTATCTATACACCCTTTCTTACGCTTTCTTCCTTGCCTTCCCATGCATTCATTTCCTCCCTTCCTCTTTTCCGTTCTTCCTGTCTTTTTCCTTACTGCCTTCCACCCATCCTTCTTCCGTCCCTTTTCTAGTCGTATTTGTAGCGTTTACCATAAAAAAAACGTTGCGACGCGTTCGAAGTGTGAGGCTTCTTAACAATGTAAAATGCATAACTGTTTCCTGGTCCTAACCCATTTTTAGCTTCCAAGTTATTTGTTAGGMRCAGTACCTACTGTAATTTAATTTAGTCAGGATCACAATTGTAAACTTTTGTCAAAGGTACAAATAAAGAGTTGTTGTTGTTGTTATTGACATCCTAACTCTTGCGTTTTTGGAGTATTTGTTTCATTCCCTTGAGGACAGAGAATATAAAAACGCCACGAAAACGTATCAAGTGTCATCCATACCGATGCGTTTCTTTAGCTACGCACTCTCTGGGATAATATCTTAATATCTGTGTTATATTTGTAAAGGAGATGCTATTCCGCCGTACATGTAAATTAGTGGAGTTTGAAAATGCAGTCAAAGCATTAGAAAAAGCAAAGCCACAGAAGAAAGAACAGGTTCGTAATAAAAAGCTATCACAAGGATTTTTATCTTGAATATACTGATGCATCCTATTTGATATTTCAGTGTGAAACGGCGAAAAATGAAGCAGAAACCGCATACAACGAAATTACTGAACTAGCCGCCATTGAGGTACTAAAAGAGAATTTTTGACTTTGGCTCTTGCAATCATGTGGGAGCCTAGCTTGGGTAATTTGCGCGCACACGCTTTAATGTTACATTTACAATAACATTGTTTGCTCTCAGATGAAACGATTCAACCGGCAGCGTGTTCTGGCTTTACAGTCAAGCCTTACGAACTTCGCGGAATCTAGGATAAAGAACGGACGAGATACGTATGCTATCTTAGCCAAACTGCTGAATGATGTCAAGAAATTAGGCGATTCTTAACTTTTTTGCAATGAWAGCAGGATTATTTTTCTAGATTGAAAATGCTCAGCATTACGGGATAATGTTGTTGCTTTTTTGAATCACAATTCTTTTGAAATTTTTCTTTCAAGTTCTTGGTATAATTATTGAGATTTTATGATSAGAATCTGCTTTYCCAATCCGACATTGTCCACAAAMATTTGGAATTGTCACTACTTTTTCTTACAGTGAAAGAAGTTCAGTAAAACACCAAAAAGATTCCAAAAATTCTAAAGAATAGTTAAGTATATTGAATGAATTGATTTTGTAAACCAAAATGAATTTAAACTGTTAAAATAATAAGCCAAGTTCTCACACAGAAGCACCATATTGTAATTTCTAWTTTTTCTGTGAAGGTGACTGTCACATGTGGGATGTAATTTCTATTTGTATTTTACGCGCATGCTCAATTTGTAAGCTATAAAGATAAAGAAATTATGTAAATACCTCCTAAAGACATTGCAAGGTTAGATTTGTTTTTAAAAATGATACGAGTCGTTACACTTGATAGAATAATTGATTATATAGAATTTTGTTAACAATCACACCTAGAAATATTYCGATCTCTCAAAAATATTGTACAAGTACAATTTTGTACAAAAAAATAATAAATGAATTTATTTTTTATCTTATATTTTATCCAATTTCAATGGAAGACTTTCTAATGGTGTCTTCATTGACTAGAAAACTGAGCGCATCTTTCGTTATTATCGTTTATTTTGTGCGCATGCGCCCTATTCTCAGCTAGTGTAATGACGAACTATAATGATCCTCTCAGAAAGAAAAGGATTTATCGACTCTTATGAGTTCATTTACTGTCAAATAGACGTGTACAATGACACTCATTAGAAAAAAAGCCCTGTATTTGTGAGCACTGAGACATTAAAAGTACCTGTCTTCAGTTATGTTCACAAAACTGTAACTTTGGTTGCTCAGTAAAGGACTTGATGTAGTCTTTGTTTAGTTCATAAAACAACCTCTTCAAAGCCTGTACTTGCAACCACTGCTTGTCAAAACATTACATGACTGTTATCACTTCATATAATAATGAATACAAAAAAATTCTTTTTATCACGTGAATTTAAGAGAAAATCCTTGATGTGAGCTTAGTTTTAGTTCTCGACTGATCTTCCGAGTCATCGGTGTTTTTTTTATCTTGAGTTACATTTCAGTGTACGCATTGGCTTAGCATGCTCATAACAAGCCCGATTTTCAGACATTCCCGATTAGTGAAAATATCTCTACTTTACAAGAAACTTTACCTACACTAAGTAGAAACACAGCAAAATGATCATAACKCAATGTTCAATCATGTTGGGTGTTAAATGTTTATGATTGTGATTCCGACTGTATGTCATTTATTCCTGCAAAGACTCGGTTGGTGACCTGAATCACACAATTCTCAAAATAAACAACGCAATAAAGATGAACTATTTTGCAGCTATACTGAAATCAAACCATGATGTATGTATTCTAGCAATGTTAAGACGCAAAAGCTGCTTTATTTGTTTTGTATATTTTCTTTCTATAAAGTGTATTATTGAGTCCTTGAAAAGTCTATTTGAGCATGTTTTGTATACACCTACTCTTCACAAAAACATAAAACACTCCAGTTATTCACTCCACAGTTAGTTTAGCTGCCGTCATAGCGTACAGTAACCTCTCGAGTCTTCAATGCGTAGTTCTGTTGTGTCTTTAGCTGTCTGGGTCTTGTTTTCCTCAAGGGTTGTCATAAATACTATAAAAGACGTCGATTCGAAAGAACTTTTCATCACTTTGTTTTGAGGAATCAAATACATTGGACYACAAGATGAAGGCAGTTTTTGTTGCATTGAGTCTCCTTATTGTTGTGYCTGCGGCTGATGAAAGACTAAGGCGTACTTTGCAGGTAAGCATGCAGTTTCTATCATTGGTTTCTTGTTGCTTTCATTCTCTGTTGCTTGCTTACTTTTCATCAATTCCGCCTTACTGTCTCATCTTGCCTCAATTTCTACTATTGTCTTATCAGATTGCTTACTTATGAACTGAATGGTTGATTTGTCTGTCTAGAAATGTTCAAAAGAAAGTGACTGTGGTGCTAACAAATGTTGTCTAGTGGGCAAAGTTTGTTCACCAAAGCTTAAGAAGTACTTCCCATGCCATCTTACGGTAATGGTTGATATG